CAAACACTTCAGAGACATGTTTTGTATATATCTGAAACCTATAATATATTGATGAAAAACAGTATTAATAGGGGACCTTTAAGTGTATATAAAATGCTCTAATCCAGGTTATTGTTACGGTGAAACCACACTCATGTTGTCTTTGAATACAGGTTTCATGGCTCCAGAGCTAATCCAGAAGAAGGAGTATGACTACACAGTGGATTATTTCACGATGGGAGTCACCCTGTATGAGATGATTGCCGCCAAAGGGCCCTTTAGAGTACGAGGAGAGAAGGTACCTAACATGTAACAAAAATATCCCCTAATTGCTCTTGTCCAATGCCAAACCATACAAATATCCTCTTTCTTTAGGTTGAGAATACGGAGGTTGCTCGCAGAATCTTGAATGATCCAGTTTCATACACACCGGTCTTCAGCAAAGACTGCAAGGATATCTGTGAAGGCCTGATGCACAAGGACCCAGAAAAACGTCTCGGGTTCAAAAACAACGACTGTGAGGAGCTGAAAAAACAGCCTTTCTTCAAAGATATTAACTGGGGTTGCCTGGAAGGAGGTGGGTGACGTCTAAGAAATACAATCGAAGAAGGCTTATCTGCATAATAAGGTCCAAATAAAGAAATATATAGATTTTTCCTGTCATATTTTATTATGCTTTTTGGGGTTTTCCCTTTGCTGTAGTGTGTTATATATGTGATTGTGTGCAGGTAAATGGTCTGCAAAGGCTGACATCCCAAAGTTTCTGTTTCTCACCTGCCCCACAATGCACTTCTATTAGCTAGTGCTCCAACACATTGTACATGACTAAGGGGCGGGACATCTCTACGCAGTTGACTAATCACAACAAAGCCGGACAGAAAACCAATCACAGCCATGAATGTATAAAGAGAACTGGATACAGCGTTGGAGGCGGGACCCCGTTTATTCCTTTTAAAGTTGCTCAGTGGCGCATAACGCCAAAATGGTCTGATTCTCGAGAGTAAATGTATTGTGTCTGGCTCCATAGAGAGTGCGCACTTGAGTTTTTCGTAAGCCCCGCCTCCGATCTCCGACTCTCGGCTCAGTCAAATGAATAAATAACTGGATTCAGCTTTTAGCACATTTCACAACTTTTAGACCCTAACGATTTAAATAAGGGATATAAAAGTGTTCGTACTGGGTAGTTGATTTAGTTAAATTATCAGCTGATTTACAGACGTCTCTTTCCCCATGTAAATCAATAGGAAAAAGCATTTTGGGGCCCAATGACGTCATAGAGAGACACATAAGTTGCAGTACCGCTTTTGGCCACAACGAAAATTAGGATCAACGTCCGGTACGCTGCGAGCTTATACAGAGCAGACAGGGCTCTGGTTTCAGACAGAGGGTGAAAAGAGGTACTGTAGCACAGGCAGTATGAGAAAAATAAAGAGCTTTTTGAACATTAACGCATGGAGACATGTCAGAGTAGAGCACAAAACATACAAATATGAACCTGAAAATGAGCATAATATATCTTCTTTAATTTGTTCTTTGTCTGTGTTCCATCTAAAGGAATGCTACCGCCACCATTTGTCCCTGATCCTAAAGCGGTCTATGCCAAAGGTATTGACGATGTGGGCGCCTTCAGCTCGATCAAAGGTGTGGTCCTGGATAAGGAAGACACAGATTTCTACAACGACTTTTCTTCCGGCAACGTCCCGATCCCCTGGCAGGAGGAGATGATCGAGACGGGTGTGTTTGGGGAGATGAACATCTGGGGAGAGAACGGCAAGCTGCCAAATGACCTTGACTCAAGCTTTGTAGAAGCCAAAGGAGGAGGATGTGTTCTGCTTTGAGTTGCAACAGATGGAAATAGAGCAAAGAATATATATTATATACCAATTATTATTAAAGTTATTATTATGGCAGACATTGTAGATAGAAGAGCAATCAATAAAAGCTTGAAAAGCAACATGTGTTTTGAGTCTACTTTTTTTTTACTATCCACATCAATGTGTTTCTTTGACGCTTTTCAACAAATTAGCTGAAGTTAATGAATAAATTGGGTTCTGGTTTCAGACAGAGGGTGAAAAGAGGTGCTCGTGAACAGGTTGTATGTTTCATGGTTAAAGATTATCTTCATTATCATATAAATATTGTCATTAAGACACCTTTGGCCCTTTGCAGATATTCTTGTGTGAATTTGAAACTGCAGTATACAATATATCAGAATGTATTTCCAGCTTGTACATTAAACCACAACTGTTTATATCATACTGTTTATGGAAGTGGTTCAGTCTAAGATGCTCTATTTTAGATAAGGATACTAATAAGTGTTTAATTTGGTCAAACAATAACTGGAATAATCAGTGCTTGTTTATTTGGATTGGCTCAGTCTCTTGGGTTACTGTTAGGGTAAATATTAAACCAGCTAGCATCTCAGGTCTAGTTAATCTTAAATTAGCACGGAGAGCAATTCAGCAGTAAAAGTGATTATATTTATTACATGCCAATCTCATGAATACTGTATGTCTCACTGGCAGGGCCGTCCCTGGCCAACTTGGGGCCCCAAGCGACATTGTGAGATGAGCCCCCCCCCCCTCACCAACCGACAGGAGTGAAACTATTTTTTTTGGAAACAAAATACTTTGCAAATATAATTCCTGTTTATTATTATTATTATCAACAGTTACTTTTTTATACAGTGAGGTAAATGGTAAATGTGCATG